TTCAATGCTCTATCTAACAATGACTAAATATCAATGAATGATTGAATACCTACAAAAATGAGATAAAAATAATTAAACTCAATGATATTTATACGAAAATACTAGTATACACTAAATATACACTTTTACAAATAAAGTGGGGTTTTATTCAAAGAATTTAATACAAATGAATCGATAAGTTCCGCAAAACTACTACTCAAAACGCGGCATTTTGGCACTTATTACTACTCATCTACCTGGTTCTCTGTACTCTAGAGAAGCACAAACACCACATGAAATAAACGCGGTGAGAATACGCTCAAATATATTAATGGTGCAAAAGATAGCAAAGGTAGGATATTCACACAAGTCAATAAACACATCACATATTTACAAAAACGAAACAATTCACAATACTTTTATGTATGCAATGTGAAAAATAATCTCGACTCAACGCATGTGGTAACAATTTGGACATCAGAGATATGTTACTGATTTCCATCCATACTCGTTCCCGGTCCCCTCTTCTGAACTAGAGCCCATCATAATCGTCACTAATCCCAATACTAAATCATTCGCGCTTTACTAATCCCATTACTGAAATTAGTTACTCACTTTCGGACCCCACTTCTGAACCAGAGCTCACCATAATCGTCACTGATCCCACTACTGAATCAATAATGCTTCATTGATCCAATCACTGAAATTAATTACTCCCTCCTAGTCTCCGCTTTTGAACCAAAGCTCACCACTGAACTGAAGCCTGTACACCATGTTGCATGGGCTCAACAAAAACATGTAAATATGATCATTCATATCCGGCCCCACTTCTGACTATGTACACCACCAATTAGGTCATCACCTCAATACAATAAATATGATATACAAATATGTTCAACGATACATAATTGTACAATTATATCCATATTCCAAATGTTATTCAATTTCTCATAATATTTTATCATAATAATATCATCTCAACATCAACATCTCTCATCATGGGTAATTGTTAATCCAATTAATTACAACAATCAGAACAAAATATTTTCATCATCGTTAACCATTAATTAGCATTACATAACAAGTAACACCATATAATCACGTTCTCAAGTACACTATTAACCTCTAATGACCTTACCATGAGGTAATACTACGCATTAGTTTTCCAATGATTCAAACAACGCCTCAATTGGAGTCACAAAACTCAAGTTATGATGAAAACAATACTTGAACAAAATCAACCTTGTCTGATTTGAATCATGTTGTTCTCCTAATTCGAATCAAATGGGCCAGAGGCGTTTTTTTCCAAATTTTGACCTGTGATTCGAATCGTGTTGTAATACTGATTCAAATCAAACATGGCTGCAATGTTTTTATGCTAAATTTTCACAAGAATCTCACTCTTAAACCTAATTTCTCCAACCTAGACTTATCCCACTTCAGTTTGAACATGAGCAATCACACATACTCGTATAACACATCAATTACTACACATATTTGGCATATTAACATCTATTTTTTTCACAAAATCACCAATCTATTCCAAATTTAAGAACATGTTTATCAAACCAAAACCCCATGAACATAAACATTCAAACTCATATTTGCATATACTCATCATACGCAAAATTCATCAATAAAACAGAGCACGAATTTCATATAAACTACAACAAGCATGATAAGTTTCACATTATCTCATTCGAAACTCATAAAACATCAACAATGGGAAAATAGATAATAAAAACCTAGAGGAGGGTGAGGATTCCTCTCTACCCTTCATGCATTTGACATCCATACAAGAGTAGTTATCCCCCTTACCTTAATTTCCAACAATCTCCAAGCTCTAGTTATAACTTCCTCTTCCTCACAAACTCTTGTTTTTGCTTTTTGTCTTTTTCTCTCAATCTTTCCGATTCACGTACAGATAAAACAAAGGCTCCACTAAACCTACTTTTTAACCTTAACATAATTTTCAGATTTTAATTATTTCACTATTCCCCCAACTTATTTTTATTTTTATACCATTACCTTATATTTTTTCAATAATCCTAATTTCCATCCAAATCTCGTGATTCTCGAATTTTCTCAGTATTTTAATTAATTAAAATTAAGTGAAATTATAAATAATTTTCACCACTCTTCATAAATCTCACAAAAATATCCAAGCACACCAATAATCAAATAAAATTAATTTTAACTCAATTAATCAGTGTGTTACAACTCTCCCTACATAACAAATTTTTCCCATCGAAAATTATCTAAAGGAAAAAGCTCTGGATAAGACTCTCTCATCCGACTTTCGAGCATCCACGTCACAGTTCCACCAACAGGTCTCCCCACACTACCTTCACCGAAGCAATCTCATTGTCTTTCAAGTGTTTCACTCACGATCCTCATTCTGCAAAGGTGATGCCTCAAAAGTCAATTTCTATCTAACTTGCACATCATCCAACTGGATCTCATGAGACGGATCAGGAATATACTTCCGAAATTGTGACACATGAAAGAAATCATGAAGATTCGAAGGAGACGGTGGTAATGCAAATCTGTAAGTCACCTCTCATACTATCAAGAGGATCTAATACGAACTAATAGAACATAACGCTCGACCAACACCAGTTACCGAAGTAACTCTAAAAAATACATGATCTCCCTCTTAGAACTCAAGTGCATTTGTTCGCTTATCATGATAACTATTGTGTTAACTCTACGGAGCTTTCATCTTCTCCTGAATCATATTGATCTTCTCAATAGTTTGTTGAATGATTTTTGGTCCAAGCACGACACTTTCACCTGATTCATATTGTCATACACCTATTTTTCAAGCATTTTCAAACCTTCAGGTAACCAATTCTATTGCGTCTAGAATAAAATTTCAGTTTTTCAGACAAATTGGTTGAATTAATTTCTTAACCCCGCGTAAAATTGGAGAATAGTGTTTTAAGGTTTGGGTCTGCAATTGCCTATTTTATTGAACTATAGTATGCATAGGTTAACTTGATATGCTCATTTAATTTTTTCGCATCCATGCGCATTCATTTTTATCCGTTCGAGCCTTCCATCTGAGTATTTTTAACTGTATTATTTGATTCACGACTATATTTTTTATTGAATTGTGCGTAGTTCATTTTAATGTATTCATTTGTTTTTTTTTGCATGATCGCGCGTCCATATTTTACTCGTTTTAATTCCTTTTCATTCACTTTTTAATTAGTTAAATAATATTTTTATAATATAAAAAAATAAAATAATTAAGTTGATTTTATTTGTTTTTGTTAAAATTTAGGTAATATTATTTTGAGACTCAATTGATCACTTAACAAGGCCAAAAGATAGAATTGATATTAAATAATTATGAAAACCCTAGTTACAAGTATAGATGTAAACTAATGATGGCCAATGGAGGAGTCAGCAGTCACTATTCATTCACTCTCTCTACAATTGACAACTTCCCTTCAAAATAACCTTTGGGAATCAACTATCAAGTGACTTATAGATTGGATATGCAAGTTTAGATTCCTTTTACTACCATTCATTGTTATTCTATTTATTGATTTTTCAGCTCAAGAAAGAATACATTATTTCATATAAACAACAAAAATTCATAGAAATTGTATTGTTAAATTAAATTATTCATGTCACAGTAGATAATTGATAAGAACGGAGGTTACCTGTCAAATTCTAATAAAAATAGAACCTATTTAGAAGGAACAACTGATTGTTAGAATAAGAACCTAAATTAAAATTTTCTAACCTTAGAATAGATTTTTCTGTAAAAGTTTCATTATTTTTCTCTACATGTGCATATATCCTAATTTAAAATAGCTTCAATAAAAAAAACTTATAATTTTATTCATGCGAAATAAAACAGCACACACAAACTAATGAAATAAAAACAACAACAACAAAAATCACATGTTTAAATAGATGAAGTTACAATATAACATTTATCCAATATAATAATATTGATATTAGCACCAATCAATCAGTACGTAAGCGTATTCATATTTAAATTAATTTTTTAAGTATTATAAGAAAATATGTTAAGTTTGGACTAAACCTTTTTACCTGTAATGTGGCCGATTCACGCTTTTTGTATTAAAAGGGAACCAAGAAATTGAAATCATACATGAACCAGTAGTGGAGTGGAATGGAAAGGCATCCGAGAAGATGGAAAACATTGATTATTAAAAGTGGTCAATTGGAGTGACATACATATCCTTCTCACTTCACAGTTCTCCAAAGGTTGTATATTGCCAGAAAAAGAACTTGATGCTAACTTTTTGCTGTTCAATGATTATTCATTGCATGTGTCTAATCATGTAAATCAAGATTTGGCTGTTTGCAAGTTGTATTTCATGAATGAAAGAGATTTAACATTTGAATATGCAATGAAATTTAGTCTGATACTTTCTTTTTCTTTCCACTTCAACATATACTGAAAAACATCTAGCACATTCAAATACAATATCCAAGAACTTCTACACTTGAATTGATTCTACAAAATTTCCATTCAACCCCACCTTAGAAAGGGAGAACAAGCTTCAATTTTCTAAATCTTTACAATTACCTATGAGGACTTAACATTCAGATATCAACTTTATAGACTTACACTTTAAAATTTTGAAGATACTCCAATGTGCATCACATCACAATGCACCAGAAAATATCAGAACTGACAGATTGGTGATTTAGTTCAAAGGGTATTAACATAAATTCCTACAGTAAGTTCAAGGATAAGAAACTTAGTGTAGTAAACTCTGATGGCCACTACTTTACAAATACTACTCTCAGGAGGGGTTTCGACATACAACAATGCCGAGTCAAAGATACTTTTGCATGATCAATGTTTACCATTCATAATTAGACCATGTTCATGTGTACACCACATAACAATTCATCCTTGATCCTATAATAAAGGAAAACCTAAAAGTTATAAATAATGTGAAATGCCTACTGAATTTTAGCAATATTTATTCAATCAAATGAGAAAACAATAGCATGTACCTGGATCAAGGACTCTAGCCCTTGTGTTCCTTTCCTTTTGTTTCAGTAGGAACCGAGTTCCACATGGATGACAATAAAGCTATACGTTTTTGCTGCAACATTTGTGTTTCTGAAATTCCCATGTCCACTAGATGCTTTTCCAGCGGAAGGTGAAATTGTGATAAAGAAGGATTGAGATATTCGTCTGATTTTCTCTTTCTGTAAGGATTGGTAAATATGACATCCTCCTCCCTGCTTCTTTTCTCCTTTAACACGTGTATTCCAATTTCTGCTCTGCTTGATAATTCGATTTTCACATCCTGACAAGATCTGAAACGCGAAGAACTTTCAAACTTAAGCTCCGCATGGATCCATTCATTTTTTAAAAGTGCTTCGTCCAGTTTAGTCATGAGTTTCCCATAGCTGTGATAGCGTTTAACTAGTTCTTCCAATTCCAAATCAAACAGAAATATATGACCAAATCGCATCTTGTGATAGTGAGAGACGAATAAAACATCTTCGGGAAGAGTATGTTGATAGTTATTGACGGACAACTTGACTTTTAATGCAGTGTTATCACCACTCTTAATAAGTACAAATGATTCAGGATGATAGAAGACAACAATGGAAGGGATTCTTTTACGAAACCAGAAAGAAATTGTCTGTCCCTGGGCTTGATGCTCGAACCAAAATGGAACCATATGACTCATATCACATTCAATTGGCAAACAAATCTCGGTGCATCCAGCCTCATGTAGTTTCTGATAGTTTAGCATTAGATACGTTACACTACGGATTATGAAATACTATATCAAATAATAGTGCAAGAAAAAACAACAAACCTGGCTTAATAACATTCTTCTAGAAGAGGAAATCAGTGATTTACATTTTATTGCATAAAACTTTTTTAGATTCGGCGGAATCCCTCTAATTTCTTCAAGTGCCGTGCAGCCATCCAATTCAAAGATCCTAATACTGTGACATTCATTAAGGCACTCCGGAAGAATTGTGAAATTGTTACCAGATAAGAATAGGTATTTCACATTAGGAAACCATGTGAACATTATTGGAAGACATTCATCTGAGAGGTTGTTATTTTTTATATTAAGATGCTCCACATTTGAAAACACTATGGACCTCATTTTACCATTATGTTTTGGAAATAATAGACGACTACCCTCTCCAGTAATCTTTGATAATCTTGACATTATAAAACTGTTACTTGAAAGCCAGAGCATTCCAGTTTCCCATATTGTTAATTCACGAAGTTCGCTGAGATTTTGAAATGAAAATGGCAATTCTTTTATGGAAGTTCCAGCCAACAAAATCTCTTTTATATTTGTCATCTTGCCTAATAATTCTGGAAAAGTCTTGAGTTTCTTACAAAGAGAGAGTTCCAATTTCTTAAGAGAGGTCAACCGTAAGGGTGGAAAACTCTCAATCTTTATGCATTCTTTTGCATTTAAGATTTCAAGTTTATTTAGGTACCCAATGGAATTGTGAATTGTAACTAGATTGTGACATTTTTGAAACGAGAAATTTTCTAAATTTGGAAGACACGAGACATTGGGTATATCAGTTAAATATTTACAATTGTTAAATGTCAAAACTCTCATATTGTCGAACTTCTGCGTAAGAAAAAAAACAAACATATAAATATCATAAACTATAATTTTGCGTGAACTTATAAATATACACAATTCAAAAACGAACTTGTTTCACTTGCCTTGTTCCAAAAACTAGATGATAGAGACTGCAAAGGACATCTGTTCCATTTTAATACTCTCAAACTAGTAGGAAGATATCTTTCACCTTTAGAAAAATGAACATTTTCAATGATAAGTGTTTTAAGATTTTTCATCTTTGTGAATGCCTTTTCATTCCAATCTACTATTGCTTCGGTTGAACAGGAGTTCAAATGTAAGATTTCAATTTTCCTAGTTCCCTTTTGACACACAAACCATGAATCAGCCACAATACATATATATAACATCGGCACACATATATTGAGAAATTAACAAGTAGTCAAGAGTAAAAGAACTAGTATGAGATGTTCATATATAAGTTCAAAAGTACGAAATCATGGTTAATGAGTAAAGTTTTTATTTTATTTTATGGGTATCAGTTTTACTTACCGTATTTTCTTTTAAAACATGAACTATATCTTCATGAAGCCACAACCTACTCCGTTTTCCAGGCTCTTTGGGAGATTCTTGTCGGACAATTTCTTTACCCATATCCTCTATTAAGTCATGTAATGTCACTTTATCCATATAGTTCCAATGGCGCTGACTAATCTTTATGAGAGATTTATCAACCAACACTTGAAGGTGGCTTTTTATGCAATGACCATAATGACCATGAAGTATCTCTTCCACTTCTGCCAATCTAGACTCTTTGAAGCAACAAGCAATATCCAAAAAGACACTTTGTTGTTCTTCGTCCAAAGCATCAAAGCTGACTTTAAGTATCTTTTGGATATCTTCATGAGGAATCCTTTCATACTTATCCAATGCAAATTCCCATTCTCCTATATGTTTTCCAAACAAACTGGAACCCACTACTTCTAAAGCTAATGGAAGGCCAGAAGCATATCTAACTACACGCTTTAAAATATAATCATAACATGGATCAATTTTGTCACTTTTAAAAGCCATCCACTTAAACAATTCAAGAGCTTCTTCCTCATTTAAAGCATCCAGTTCATATATTCTTTTAATCCCATGACAAGATAGCAAATTTTTGTCTCTAGTGGTAACTATGACTCTGCTTCCAGGTCCGAGCCAACTAGGCTCTCCGACCAAAACCTGCAATTGCTTTAGTTTGTCAACATCATCGAGAATCAACAAAACCTTCTTTTGCTGCAGCCTTTGTTTTATGATTCCAATTCCTTCGCTGACATGCCCTAACTTAATTTTCAATCCGATTGATTTGGAGAGGAGCTGCTCTTGGAGATATTCTAAGCCATATTTAATTGAATTTTCTCTCACATTGTGAAGGAAACACAAACCTTCAAATTGAGTGGAAATCAAATTATAAATTGCATGAGTAAGAGTTGTTTTACCCAATCCTCCGCTTCCACATATCCCAATCAGACATACTTCATTATCACAGTCAACGTTCAGAAGCGACGCTACTTTCAGCATTCGAGGCTCAAGCCCAACAGGGTAATCAGCAACATGTAGAAGAACTTGATTGATATTCTTGGAAATCTCTGTAACTATCTTATTTATATACATGTATTCATATTCTTCTTTCCTGCGTCCAATCAAACAAGTTTGAGTAAATGCATCAAAATCACAATCACTTCCATGTATTGATGATGATGATATTACAATTCAAATTGTTCCATCATACGATAAATTAACATTCTACAAGAAAAAAAATATAAAAAATATTTTTCACTTTTAACATTTTAAAATGAAATTTTGTCAATAGAAAACAAAAGAAAGACAATATATATGGATAAAAGTTGGGTACCCAGGATTGTAATGGTATCCAGACAAGTTAGCTGCATAGGTAAGAGCCATCTTCCAATCCTGCAATCTCTTCATGTTTTCCATGTTATTTTGGAACCTTTCTTCATGTTCAGCAAGTGCTTTACCATAACTCTCATTTTGATGCCGCACGTGAGTAGGATCCACGCCATAGAAAACTGGAAGTACAAGGCGGCGCTTTGTTTTAAAGTAGTGAATGATGTGGACAAGTTCATCCAGACAAAATGAAGAAGTAGCATAGTTTTCAGAGAAAACAATAATAGCAATCCTCGAGTTTTCAATGTTATGGAGGAGTGATGGTGTGATTTCGTCACCTCTCTTAAGGTCTTTGTCATCTATGAAAGTTCGGATTCCATTGTCATAAAGAGCTTTATAGAGATTACCGGTGAAACCGTATCGAGTGTCCGTGCCTCTGAAACTAATGAACACGTCAAAGGTTAAATCATTGGAAAAAGAGGAAGATGGAGATGAATGTATTGCCATAAAAAGAAATGGTATTCAGTGTGAGTGTGTTGGAATGTTGTGTTAAAATAAAAGTCTTGCATGAGTGTTATGTATATGTTAGAACTTGTGAGTACCCATTTAGCCAAAATGAAACTTCCTTCCCATTTCCTTCTCTTCCGTGTGGACAGACCGACTATATTCAAACAATTCAAATGTGAACACAATAGTTTATAACTACCTACCATCACTTATTTTTCAATCCTTTTCTGTAAGTTCTCGGAAGCAGCGTAAATAGTTTACTAAAGAAGGAGTGTAAAGTTTGAAATTATAAGCACTGTAATAGCAACCACCACTTATTTATTTATTTATGTGAACTCAATTCACACATCACTTATTTAAACAATTCAAATGTGAAGTCAATATCTTCCATGTTGGGGAAATAGTTTACTAAAAAAAAGAGTGTAAAGTTTGAAATTATAGTAAGCATTGTAATAGCAACCATTATTTATTAATTTATTTATGTGTGTGTAAGGTTGAGTAGTTAGGGGTGCACATAATAAGGGGTTATAATGTCAAATCCATAACCGCATTCACTTAAAAATCTGGTTATTAATAAGATATTGTTGGTTAAACGATTATTGAGCTAGATATCCATTTCCAAAAACCAGACTTTCTAACTTAACCTCTACTACATTTGTGAGTGCGATTATGAATGAGTGTGATAATGCAGCAATGGAACAACCCTAAAATCTTCACGCTTATGATCACGATCCATATTTTGCAACGCTAGACAAAAGATAGCTAAGTTTAAGAGTAAAAACCTGAAAATCTATGGACGCATTGACGTTGTTCACTGCGAGGTTCAGAATTCAGATTGCCAGCCCCAACCTCTTGGTGAGATCGGTTTCACCGACGAGCCCTTCAACATCGTCTTCTCCGATGGTTGCAGAGGTCCATACCGGCATCGGTGGAACGTGCAATTGTAGACAGCCGTGCATTGTTTTAACGGAGTGGAATTCAGCGTCAACGCCATTTTTGGGGGGAAATGTTTGAGACGTGTTTCTGTATGAGGAAATAACAGTTTTAAAATCCAGACATGGAAATCCGGTTTAAATCCGGATATAGGAATGTGTGATCTTTAATCTGGACTAAAACTGGATTAAAAACTATACTAAATGTGGTTTTGGATTCAACATTCTTCCGATTAAATGGTTAATAGATGGACGTGGATAGGTTTTTGAAAAAACCAATCCAAATGAGCCTCACTCAAAGCCGTGCATAGAATTTTTGGATCTAGTGTGTATATATATATATATATATATATATATATATATATATATATATATATATATATATATATATATATATATATATATATATATATATATATATATATATATATATATATATATATATATATATATATATATATATATATATATATATATATATATATATATATATATATCGTATTTTACTGTTTACTACGGTGAACAATGAAATATTATAATATTACTATTATTTTTTTTTATTAAGGAGTACTAATATAAAATTGTGTGATTAATCAATTTTATAATTTCATTAACCAATCTTTTATATTGTATTAATCAACTTTGATTACTGTTAAAAAATATTTTTAATATTTTAACGTTTATTAACCAACTTCATAATTTCATTAACCAATCTTTTATATTGTATTAACCAACTTTGATTACGGTGAAAAATTATTTTTAATATCTGAATATTTATTAATCAATTTTTTACTTTTTATTTATCTTTGATTCACAACTAAAAATTATTTTTAATATCTAGTAATTTATTAACCAATTATATTACTTCATTAACCAACTTTGTTTCACTACTTTAAAATAATTGTTCATGAGTACTATTCATGAACACCGTTCAAACAGTGTTCATGCAATATTCATAAAAAAATATATTTTTTATTTTAAAAAATATTGTTTATCGTATTTATACGGTAGATAGTATATACGATATAAATATTAGTGGGAAAAAAGGTGTAAGAATAATAAAGGATCTAATGAATCCTAATTATTAGAATTTTGTCATATAGATTTTTTTGTTGCACCTATACCTATTAAGACAAAAAGAGAAGAAATTTTGGTTACTTTGAATAAAAAATAATAAGTTACTGTAACATGAATTTTAATACAAAAATAATTAGATATGAATAAACTATTATTAATTTTGGATACTTATTCTTTAAGACGGGATGTAACATTGTAACCCACAAAACAGATCAAATTGTTTCAAAGAATAAAGTACTCTAAAGAATGAGACTTCCTCTTGCTCCCTACTCTTCTCTAAATTTCTTTTTTCAAAATAAAATACACTCTTATAACCATGTCTTCATGTGATTCCAAAAATTGTGATCACAACTTTGGCGATGCTGATTCTTTAGGCTCTTCCTCCTCGTCTTTGTCTACTCATTTATATGGTTACTATACCCTTTGTACAAAAGAAACACAAACACCTATTAAATTTTCATCTTGAGTCTTTCTGTTTTGGCTGTAAGTGATGGGGCCATTTTACTTTGATCCTACCTATGCCTTACTAAACACTACAATCTGCCAATCTCTGAGAGTTGATTCTCCATCGACACGATGGGAGGCCAATAAGCTTTCAGATGGAGATAGCTGCATGCCAAGGTTCGAAGAAATGGAGAATATTCTAACGCTCCAATCCAATTGGTATCAATCAATCATGAAAGAGCCATACCGCATTGCTGCTGCACAAGTTCTGCCACAGAAACTTCCATGCGGACCTGTCTTTCTTTGTCAACGGCGGGCAAGGTCTTGATAGCAAAGCACTCTTATCTGTAAGCGATTCAATAAAAAGGAAAAGTATTAAAAAAGAATTCTCCAAAACAAAATAACAAGCAACACACAAAAAGAAATACAATGCAGTAAATGAAACTGTGTAAGCGAGCGAGCCATACACTGTTGGTGCTGCTGCACATCTTCTGCCTTTGAAACTTTCGCGCCCACCAATATTTTCTTTTCCAATAGAGGGAAACGTCTTCCATTATGAGGGTGTGATATTGCCTTTCTACAAGGATCAATGAATATGACATTCTCTCTCAGGCCGCTTTTCTCCTTGAACACATGGATTCCAATTTCTGCCCTGCATAATAATCTCTTCTTCTCATCCTCATAATAATTCATATTTGGAAGACTCTCCAAACTAAGTTCTACACGGATCCAGTTATCTTTCAAAAGTGCTTCGTCCAGCTCACACACAAGTTTCCCAAAAATCCGGTTATAACATTTAATCCTTTCTTCCAATTTCAGATCAAATAGATACATATGATTTGGTCGCATCTTGACAAGGTAAGGAAGAAACTGGACTTCATCAGAAAGAGTATATTTATAGTTATTGACAAGCAAATTGAGTGTTAGTTTAGTTATATCAGACTGAACCAGAATAATAGAACTTATAGAAGGGATTACTTCACGAAACACGAAAGAAATTGTAAGTCCCTCGATTTTGTGCTCAAACCAATCTGGAATCTCCTCTGTTCCGGTTGGCAAACAAATCTCGGTGCATCCAGCCTCTGGTAGTTTCTGTTAGTTTAGCATAAGATATATCACAATGTGGATTGTGAAACACTATTTCAAACACAGGATCAAGAAAAAATAACAAACCTGACTCAATAACATTCTTCTGCATGAGGAAGTCAATGATTCGCATCGGATGGCAGAAAACTTTTCTAGATTCGGTGGAATCCCTCTAATTTCCTCAAGAGACTTGCAGCCATCCAATTCAAGGATTCTAATAAGGTGGCATTCATCGAGACACTTCGGAAGAATTTTGAAATTGTTATTCCATAAGTATAGATATTTCACATTAGCAAACCGTGTGAGAACTATTGGAAGGCATTCCTCTGAGAGGTTGTTCCTTCCAAGATTAAGATATTCCACTTTTGAAGATACTATGGAACTCAATTTATCATTATGTTTTGGAAATAGTAGAGGAAAATCCACATCTGTAATCTTCGACAATTTTGTTAACATACCAATGTTACTTGAAAACCTGAGCATTTGACATCCCTGTATTTTTAACTCACGAAGTTCACTGAGATTTTGAAATGAAAATGGCAATTCTCCTATGGAAGTTTCAAACAACCAAATCTCTTTTATATTTGTCATCCTACCTAATAATTCTGGAAAACTCTTGAGACTCCTACACTTAGAGAGTTCCAATTTTTTAAGAGAGATCAAATGTAAGGGTGGAAAACTCTCGAGCTTATTGCACCCTTTTGCATTTAAGATTTCAAGTTTATTTAGAAACCCAATCGAACTGTGAATCGTAATTAAATTATTACAATTTTCAAACGAGAACTTTTCTAAATTTGGAAAACTTGAGATATTAGGTATATCGGTTAGATATTGACAATTGTTAAATGTCAAAACTTTCATATACTCGAACATCTGCATAAACAAAAAGAAAAGAAAAAACAAACAAACAAATAAATAAAAATAATAGTGAATTTATAAATATATACAATAGGTAAATGAACTAATTTCACTTGCCTTGTTCAAAAGCATAGATGATAGGGACTCCAAAGGATAGCTATTCCATTTCAATACTCTCAAACTACTTGGAAGATATCTTGCACCTTTAGAAAAATGACCATTTTGAATGATGAGTGTTTTGAGTTTTGTCATCTTTTTGAGTGCCTCTTCATTCCAATCTATTATTCTTTCAGTTGAGGGAGAATTCAAATGTATCATTTCAATTTTCCTAGTTCCCTTTTCACACAAAAATTCACAAATCAATTACGATACATATATAAATTTGGAATACATATATTGAGAAATTTACATGTAATCAAGAGCAAAAGAGCTAGTGTAAGGTAATCATGCAAGTCCAAAAGAGCGAAATTGTGATATATGTACCGTGTTTTCTTTTAAAACATGAACTATATCGTCATGAAACCACAACCTACTGCGTTTTTCTGGCTCTTTGGGTGATTCTTGTCGGACAATTTCTTTACCCATATCCTCTATCAAGTCATG